TTAGGTGGTGGGGGGCAGTTAAGATGAAACATGCAGTGGAAATTCAGGCTGAGACAACAGTCAGATTGTTCTGCACAGACTACACCTGACCATATTGGTTCCAACCAATTTCAGCCAGTTTCTAAATCTCAGAAGTGGTGGGAGTTTCAGCATTTCAGCAAGTTGTTTCTTATCTGCCAACCCGCAAACTCGAGAATTTCTGTTAGTCACTGTTTTCTTCAACTCTTAGGGGCACAATTTCAACATAGTGAGATAGGAAGCAAACGAGAGAGGGGAAGGAGAGGCCAGGCTCTTTAAATCAACCAGTCCTTGCATGCAACAGTTCTAATAGAACAAATAGAGCGAGAACTCACTCATTACCACAATGACAGCAATAAACCATTTATGAGGGATGAAACCTCCATGATCCAAACTCCTCCTTTTTGACTCCACCTCCAACACTGAGGATCAAATTTCAGCATGAGATTTGGAGAAGTCGAATATCCCAAGCACCTTGAAACTAGGTTCTAGAAAGCTCGACTTTCTTCAAAGGACCAAACATAGAACAGCATAGCCCTTATAAGGGTCATTTTGTTGTCATGCAATAAAGTGCAAGGATGAGCAAATTCTTTGACCAGTAATATAGAATCTAGGGACTTATTTTTAAAAACCAAATATATATGCAACTTATGTACATACAAGGATATTCTTCACACATTTAAGTGAAAACCAAAGGTTCATCAAAGGGAAACTGTGCTTAAATCTGTTACTGCTATGATTCCTGATACAGAACGCTGTAGACATTCTAATGACAATGTAGGTTGTACGTTACTAATATTGTATGACAGACAAAATGATTTGAGTGAAAAAGAATGATATGCAAATACACATAAATCTATGTTAAAAATGATACCTTTCTCTCAGTAGATTAGTATGTTTTAGTCACTTTCTATATGTGGATAGATTGAACTATATTATTTTCTTTTAAAAAATAATTGTGCAAGTGTTTATTGAACTTCAAAAAAATGGTGACACTTTTCCTCTATTCATGTGTTTTTCCAGACTAACATACATATTGAGGTTCAGCACTCCTGAATCATTATTTAGAGAAATCATACAAAATTAATCAGTAGGAAAACTTGACCTCCCTACCCATTAAACTCCATGAAGGATCTTCTCAGGCTTAGGTCTAAATGAAGTCTCTTAATGAAAGTAAAGTAAGTCCTATTCTAATCCCTCAACGATCCAAGAGGAAGGAAAACAGGGAGGAAAAGTGAGATGGGAACTCTCCTCCCCACCAAAGTCACAAACAGGGCTTCTGACACCAGCCCTGTTTCCCTCAGAGAACCTAGCCAATAGGCCAAGCAATGGCTGTGTATTATCGGTCAAACATATGTGTATCTGACACTTCCTACTGTATTCACCCTTCAGTCTGGTGTTACCTGATACAGGTCGTGTAAAATAATCAGAGATGCAGGATGTCAAGGGTCCTTGGGGATGGGAGGAAAGAGCACAAAAGTCTTGTTGGAGACTGTACAGGTTCCAAATTGGATATTCTGGGATGGGTGTGTCTTCAAACTAGTGACAAGAAAACTAGGATTAGGCTCTGAGATTTAAAACTTTATAGTAGAACGTGTGGGCTTATTCCAAAGTGATAGATGACAGATGAGCCAGGAACAAGGACAAAGATCTCAGCAGAAGCTTCTCCCAAATACATATGACTTTTTCTAATCTCTGGAAGCTAGGATTCCAAAGCTTCCTTTTTGCTCCTTAGTCAGTCTGGGCTGTTAGGACAAAATACCTTAGACTGCGTAACATATAAATAACAAATTTATTTCTCACAGTTCTGGAGGCTGGGAAGTCCGAGACCAAGGTGCTGGTGGTGTCTTGTAAGGGTCTGCTTCTTCATACCTTTTCCCTGTATACTTACATTGTGGAAGAAGCAAACAGCTCCCTTAGGCATCTTTCCTAAGGGTACTAACCCCATTCATGAGGACTTTACCCTCATGACTTAATCACCTCCCCAAAGGTTTAACCTCTTAAGACTGCCACACTTGGGGGTTCTGTGTCAACATATGAATTTGGGAGGAGAGGCAAAAACATTCATAACACACCCTCAATCTTAAACAGTTTCAACATCAACATGAACTGGCTTTTCTTTTCTCAAGTTCATATTCTAAAAGGTACTCTTGGCCAGATAAACTTCAACAGCAAAATCACTGATTGTAAACCTTGCCTTATAGAAAAGGAAAAGAAGGCAACTGAGAGCTAGTGGAAAGGAGTCATTTCAGTATGGTATGTAAAATATTTTCCTATCTCCTTTTTGCTCTCTTTCTCTGCCATATTGTCTTTCTCAAATGTCTAGCAAAATATTAATTTAAGATGAATTTGCTTATGTCTATAAGTCTCTTACTACCTGACCCTGGATTTCTCCTCAACCTCTATTCAAGTGCATCTATCCTCTCTGTTATTAAGGCCAATCATGGAGCACTCACATGTTAGGGGTTTAGCTTCATAGTAATGTTCTTTATGAGATGGCCAGACATAGCTGTTGAAACAAAAGGACTAGCCCCCACTTAAAGTTCTTCTCACCTCTGTCCCAGTCATATCTAGTCCTTCAATGTTAGCCCCCCCCTCTGCTTAATTCTGCTTTGGAACCCTCCCTCTGCTCGTGAACTTAATTCATGTTCCAAATATCTGAGGACTCATAAAAGGAAGCCTCCATGATTCTTCCAGGAAGTGCATGAGGAAAAGCAGCAAAAATAAATCCCTATACAGGCTTTTCCAAAGGGACTGAGCAGGGATTTTATGTCTCAGATTCAAAGTGGTTCCAGAGTAGCAGTTATCCAGATCTTGTCTGAAAATAAAATTACATAATATCTAGAAGAGAAAGGTACTTTCATCTAAGGATATGGGGAATCTCTTTTTAAGGACAGAGTGACACACAAAAATAACCAACAAAAAAAGGAAAGGAAGCAAAGCAAACTGACTGAAGAATTTAAAAATAAACTTACAAAGGGATACATGAAATCTTCAGTTATTGGAATTATCAGATATATATTATGAAGCAACTATTTCTATCATGTTTTAAATAACCTTGCAAGATTGAAATCTTAAAAATCTCCTGGATAGGGAATTATGAATAAGAGATAGATTAGAATAAATTATCTGGAATGCAACACAGAAATGGAAAGATGGAGATAAGAGAGGATTGAAGACACCTGGAGGATAGAGTGGCAAGACCTCCTTACAACTAATTGGAGTTCACAGGGGAGAGAAAGAATGGGGAAGAGGCAATATATGAGTTGAAGAGTTTGCTGAACATGAGCAAGATGGTTCCTTATAGACTCAAGTTGTTCAACAAATCCCTGGCAGGAAAAAACTTCATATCCGGGAACATTATACCAAAATGCACAAAGCACATTCAGTTACTGAATTTAGTTAAAAGCCCAGAATTCTAAGGGAGGAAAATTCCTAACAGCCTAGTCTCTCACGCCCTCCTTAAAAATCTCAATTTTTTTTTTATCTCACTTGTATTTTATAACATTAAAAAGACCATTGTTCTAAAAGAAAATTGACCAAAAGATGTTTAATGATCAAAGAAGGAAATACTAAGGCCAACAGACATATGAAAATGTTCTCTATCTCATTAACAATTAAAAATGCAAACCCAAGCCACAGTGAACTACCCTTTCACACCTATTAGATTGACAGAATTGGAAAGTTTCACAAAATTAAGTGCTGGTACTAACAGTTGGCAACCAAAATAACTATAAACTCTGGTAGGAGTGTAAATTGGGAGTATAAGTATAATAAAGTCATAGATGGGAAAATACTTTGCACAGGCAAATCTTTCCTTATCACATACCCCAAGTCTTGAGAGGAAGCCACTTGATGCCAGTGTTATTTAAAGGTATAGCTGCTACAGGATTTAAATACCACACCCGCACGAGATACCAATGCAGTAGCATTGCCTAACGAATACCATGCGATGAGTACTTGGCATTTACAAGAAAATTTATAGCCATACTATTTATCATTTTTTTAAAATAAGGAAAAGAAATTAAAATTTAATTTCAGTTGCAAAAATGAGGTAAAAGCCCAAATATACACCAACAGTAGTTTGCTCTGGCTATGTATACAGTTGTCCATCGCCTCTCTGGGTGGGCTGGCAAGGTCAGAGCCTAAGATGTGCTGCTGGAGAGACAGGCGGATCAGGCTCTGAGAGGTATGGGAGGAGGGATTCTTCCCAGGATGGGGCCATTGTCCTCAAAGTGCCCACTTGATTTCAATATTTCCAAGCCCTTCGAGGGGGCGTAAGGACCTCAGAACTGCAGTCATTAGTGTCATACATAAGCCATGTTCGCATACATTTCCAGGAAGCGTTCTCGGTGGGCGAAGTATGGTTGTGACATGACAGTACGACCACGGGGCGTCCTGCGAACGATAGCCCTGGGCAAGCGGGCGCCCGACAACTCGAAGGCCGTGCGAGCAGATCCGCGAGGAAGCGGGGATCTGCAGGAGAGGAGCCCGCCCGCTAGGCCAGGCCAGTTCTCGTTCACCCCCGCAAGGCCGGCTCACGCCCCGAGAGGACCCTCTTCGTGACGCACCAATGACCCGGAAGTCCTTGTCGCGCCGCAGAGTTTTCTGGGAAGTGGAGTCTGGCGGTCCGGGCCATTGTTCTTCCGACGCGA